ACTCAATAATTTTTGAGCATTGGCCACAGTAAAGTATATGTAAAGTTCCAGAAAACTATTTTTAAAAATCCTTGAGGTGATAGATTGAGCTAGATAATGGTAACAATATATCATTCTGCTTTGATTTATAGATTTATAATTTAGTCCTCCTTCAGAAATAATTTTTAAATGCAGCCATCTCCTGGAATTTAGAATGAGGCTCGTATCTCAGTGCTTTTTACGGGCAGAAATTCTGCCATGTCTGCTTTCATACCAAGACCGTTGAGTGCTATTGAGGGCAAAGGGATTGTTTTGTTTAGTTTTGCCAAGGCAAAAGAATAGCTTTTACATTTCATTAGTCAAATTGAGACAGAAGCCTGAAGATTTAAAAGAAATTATGCTTTTGCATTGAAATTAGGAGCTCAATAAAATTAGATTCTATAAAAATAAGTTAGGCCCATACATTGAGCCTGGCCATTCCTGGTAAATATTGTAGAATGAAGGGATGACACGTGAACATGCTACAATAAAAAAGACTTGAGTTCAAATCCAGATCTATCATTTGTGCATCTTGAGGCACATTTCATAGCCTCTCCAAGCCTTAGTTTCTTCATCTATAAAATGGGAATAATAAGTACCAAACTCATTCTTGCTGTAAGGTTTAAATGAAATAAATGCATGAAGAAAGAATTAGGCGCCACACCTGGTCCATACTCAATGCTCAAAAAATGAAAGTGGCTATTGCAGTCCCTGGCCTGAGACTCAGATACAGGTGTCAGTTCCGGGTTTCAATTCTGGAAGAGAAGGAAGAGAGCCCAGAATCTTCCTTCAGAAAATCAGAGTCTTCTGGAAAAAGGCCTTCTTGAGATCTTAGATCTGCACAGGCTGCTGGTCAAAGTGTCTGATGAATTGATTTTTCACTGCAATGGCCAGAGCTTCCCCAGCATGTTTTTGCAGGGCCAGGCCAATGTTGAGGCTCCTTCTCAGAGGGCTGCTTGCAGGTTTCTGTAGGAGCTCAGTGCTGGCACGGAGGCACACTAGGCTGACACCTAGGAAGTCTCATTTAGATGTCAGAATTTGCTTCTTAGGGCACTCTTCTACTAACTGGTTTTATTAGAAAAGCTAAACATATTTCACATATTAGGGAACCCTCTCTCTATGACTTTGCCCAATTTCTTTTTATGCTTTTCACAGAGATAGGGTTTTCCAACCACCAGTGCATTCGCTTTGAGATTCATTGCTGAGTAAGTGTTGTCATGTGGACTCCTGGGTCCCAGATGGTCCTTTGTTTTCTCTCATTCTTCTGCATTGTTACTGTAAGAGAAATACATTCCTGGCCGGGTGCGGTGCCTCACGCCTGTAATCCCAGCACTTTGGGAGGCCCAGGTGGGCAGATCACCTGAGGTCAGGAGTTCAAGACCAGCCTGGCCAACATGGTGAAACACCGTCTCTACTAAAAATACAAAAAATTAGCCAGGCATGGTGTCATGCGCCTGTAATCCCAGCTACTGAGGAGGCTGAAACAGGAGAATCGTTTGAATTTGGGAGGCAGAGGTTTCAGTCAGCCAAGATTACGCCACTGTACTTTAGCCTGGGCAACAAAGAGTGAAACTCATCTAAAAAAAAAGAAAAAAAAAAGAGTAATAACATTCCTGGGCTTTTTATGTATTAGCAGTATTAAAATATTTTGGAATTCAACTTGTGTCTTCATTTTCAGTGGAAGGCCTTTTTTGTTTGCTTTTTAAAAAATTAATTACTGTTGATACATAATAATTATACATATGTATGGGTTACAGCTGATATGCTGATGCAGTCATACAACTTGTAATGATTAAATCAAGGTAATAGAGATATTCATTTGCCTCAAGTATGTATCATTTTTTATTTTAGGAACATTCCAATTCCACTCTTTTAGTTATTTTGAAATATGAAATATGATTGCTAACTATAGCCACCTCATTGTACTCCCTAACATTAGCTCCTTTGGTTGTGTTTTCACTCTCTCTGTCCCTCCCTAATAGTTTAATGGTTTTGAAGTCACTTCCACCTTGTCCCTCTAACCTTCCCATCTAGTCAGGTTTTCTTTCTTGTTTTTAATTATATATTTTTAAATTTATTTGTTTTACTTTAAGTTCTGGGGTACATGGGCAGAACATGCAGGTTTGTTACATAGGTATACACATGCCATGGTGGTTTGCTGCATTCATCCCCTCATCATCTACATTAGGTATTCCTCCTAATGCTGTCCCTTCCCAATTCCCCCATCCCACTGCTATTCCTCCCCTAGCCCCCTGCCCTCCAACAGGTCCCAGTGTGTGACGCTCCCCTCCCTGTGTCCATGTGTTCTCATTGTTCAACTCCCACTTATGAGTAAGACTTGCAGTGTTTGGTTTTCTGTTCTTGTATCAGTTTGCTGAGAATGATGGTTTCCAGCTTCATCCATGTCCCTGCAAAGGACATGAACTCATCCTTTTTTATGGCTGCATAGTATCCCATGATGTATATGTGCCACATTTTCTTTATCCAGTCTGTCATTGATGGGCATTTGGGTTGGCTCCAAGTCGTTGCTATTGTAAACAGTGCTGCAATACGCATACATGTGCATGTGTCTTTATAATAGAATGATTTATAATCCTTTGGGTATATACCCAGTAATGGGATTGCTGGGTCAGATGGTTTTCTAATGACATCTTGAAGTTTTTGCTCAATTTTGAGGGCATATTACTGATTCAGTTTTTAGGGACCCAGCACGAATCTTAGTTAATTATTGATTATGAAGACTTATCCTCTCCCTGCCTGTCAAAACTTTATTAAAGCCATGGCTCCTGGAACTAAGGTAGCAGCCAATTGTTTTCCCAACCTCATTTCTTGAGCCAGGACTCACCATTCAAGCAGAGCCTGGCTCTGACTGCTCCTTTCTCACGTGGAGCTCTTTTAGAGAGCTGCGCATCTGGCCTTGACCTCTGCTTTTGTCCTTTGGGTACAGCAGGACACTGCAGAAGCCTCACCCACTGCCTTCAGCTTTTGGCTCCTTTCCCATTCATGGAAATGGTCATCTTGCTTCTTGGGCCTAGCTGTTTGTGTGTGTGTGTGTGTGCGTGGTTTTGTTTGTTTACCTATTTAATATTTTATCTATCATTGCTGTGTGTTTGGAGCAGTGGGGTGGTGTCCAAGTGTGGATTCACCAAACCACCTTGGCCAAAAGTCCAAACTTGTCAGAAGACTGTGTCTCATGGAGATCACCTCCTGTAAGATCCAGACACCAGGCAATCTGGGTGTGCAGAAAAGCTTCACAGCTTCGCATTAAGATATTGTTAAAGAGGAGTAAGTGTGGGCCTGGCTCCATGGCTCACACCTGTAATCTCAGCACTTTGGGACGTCAACGTGGGCAGATCACCCATGGTTAGGAGTTCGAGACAAGCCTGGCCAACATGGCGAAACCCAATGTCTACTAAAAATACAAAAACTAGCTGGGCGTGATGGCGCGTGCCTGTAATCCAAGCTACTCAGGAGGCTGAGACGGAAGAATCGCTAGAACCCAGGAGGCGGAGGCTGCAGTGAGCTGAGATCGCACCACTGCACTCCAGCCTGGGCGGCAGATGGAGGCAGACTCCAAGGACCATGAATAAGAGAGGAGAAGCAAATGTGAACATGAAATTCAGGAGACCCCTCCCACACTTTAAAGCAGAAGGGAAACCTCAAAAGGAGAATAGTTAGGCATAATAGAAAACATAGGCATATTAAGTAAGCATTGGCCTAAAATCCACATAGTAGAACATTGGATACATGTATAATATTTCTTGCCCAGATCTTCCTGGAAATACTATCTGTTGCAAAACTTTCTCCTATCAACTGTTTTTGGTTAATAGTTCAGGGATTTGGTTTAGTACTTTGGAGAGTTATATATCCAAGCACTTTGCTTGTCAAAACTATCTGTATTTGTTAGCTGTATTTGTAAAAGCAGTGGCTCAAATGCTTTTAGAAGAGATTTTCAGCTGTGTGGGAGGCTCATGCCTATAATCCCAGTATGGGATTACATACTGGGAGGCCGAGGTGGGTGGATCACTTGAGGTCAGGAGTTTGAAACCATCCTGGCCAACATGGTGAAACACTGTTTCTCCTAAAAATACAAAAAAATTAGCTGGGCTTGGTGATGGGTGCCTGTAACCCTAGCTACCCAGGAACTGAGGCTCAAGAATCACTTGAACCCAGGAGGTGGAGGTTGCAGTGAGTCAAGATCATGCCACTGCACTACAGCCTGGGTGACAGAGCGGGACTCTGACTCAGGAGAAAAAAGAGACTTTCGGTAGAATCTGTTCCAAAATGAACAGGGAGCAAACTTTCTCACTGATAGTCAATATTCTGGCACTTATTTATTTCTTTGGGTGAATTAGAAACTCAAATGATAGATAGGCCCATTTGAGCATCGGAGAGATCTGCTGGCCCAACCAATCTAATTATGTGGGCAGTTCACTCTTTTACTCCTCCTATCTGAGAAACAGAGCCTGATTTTTTAAGAAAGTATTCCAATCCGTCCTCTAACAGTGAAACTATGTTCTTTTTGGCCTGTGATTTGGGAGTTGCTCTGCCCCTTGGAGAGGTATTTCTGTTCTTGTTCTCCACAGAATCCATCTGAACTGGCCTTACTCCCCTGGGCTCAAATTTCAGGCAGAAAAGGCAGAGTATTATTGCCACCTATTGTCATCAGTTCTTCCCTGTGTGCTTCCAACAAGTGATAGCTTCTCGTAGGAAAGTTAAGAAGTAATGTGACCCAGCACACTGGCTCATGCCTGTAATCCCAGCACTTTGGGAGGCCAAAGCGGGTGGATTACCTGCGGTCAGGGGTTCAAGACCAGCCTGGTCAACATGGTGAAACCCCATCTCTACTGAAAATACAAAAATTAGCCAGGCGAGATGGTGAGCACCTGTAATCCCAGCTACTCACAAGGCTGGGGCATAAGAATTGCTTGAACTTAGGAGGTGGAGGTTGCAGTGAGTGAAGATTGCACCATTGTGCTCCAGCCTAGGCAACAGGGAGAGACTCCATCTCAAAAAAAAAGGGGGGGGGGGAAGAAGTAAGCAGAACTTTTCTAGGAAGCCAAGACATTCTCTTCTTTGTTGAAACTGAGAGACAGTTGCTAATAGGGTTTGTTGTTGTTGTTTGTTTTCGTTTATGTTCTTTTTTTGTAGAAAGATGTACTTGGTGCATTTGAAGACGCAGGATCCCACAGCAGCCTTGCTGTTGCTACCTCAGCCAGACAGGCCTGGCATCCCAAACATCCTACAACCAACCTCAGGCAAACACTCTCTTAAAAAACCCAGACAGTGAGGGGTTGTATCCTTCTTTCGAAGGTGGGATACACTGAGAGTGCTTGGATGCAGGTGCTCCAAATTACCTCTGCCTCAAACCAGTTTGCCGAATTCTAGGCAAGCTGAGTAAATACTCATGGGAAGGTTAATAAAAATGGGAACTCACCCATACTTAGAAACATAATAGAGAACATTAGACTCATGGATACCGCTGCCATGCCCACAGCATCCCTGGAGCCATTGGAAAGGGCCCGGTGAACATTTTATAACCAGGCATTCCCCAGCTAGCGCATATTAATTGTGGGAATTAAATCAAGGGAGGGAATGGATTCTCCCTGGGGCTTGAAGAAAATGGTCCACTTACTGTGCTTTTTCACAGTTGCATTGCCTTCCTCTGATGCTGGGTAGGGAGAGAGGAGGGGCGGTGCTGGGGCCAGTTACCAGTGCAGAGAAACGGGAAGCAGTTATGTCCTGGGCAATGAATGCAGTTAATAAACAGGGCTTAGTTTATAGTGGACACTCAACATTTATTTTCTGATTTCTGTACATATTTCTGTGTTGCCCATTCTTGTTTATCTCTTAGTGGAGATGTTTGAGTTTTGCAGGTGAGGGAGGGAGATGGTTAGTTCCTAAATATATAACCAAATCCTATGACAAAATAATATTAATAATTATTTTCTGCTATTTTATTTTATCATAAATTGACAAATTATAACTGTATATATTTATGGGGTATGATGTGATATTATGATACATGTGTATAATGTGGGATGATTAAATACAGCGAATTAACACATCCATCACCACAAATACTTGTCACCTACCATTTTAAATTGCAAAAATGTACGGAAGGACCACAGTCCTTCAACTGAAACCCTGTAGTCAGTTGTGTTTCAGAATTCAGAATTTTATTTTAGAAAGGTGATAGAAAGCATACGCTACATACTATGAATCACCCCTAGCAGGATCTGGGAAGATTCTTAGAACCTATAACATTAAGAATTTCTGTAGCAAACATGGTGATTTGCTCTAAGTGGGATAAGTAAAGATTTTTAATAGCATCATATCACTTCAAGTTATGACACTGAATGCATTTTGGGGCCAAACTCACAAAGAACAACAAGATTTACAAAACTTTCTGGATTTTAGAATTGTGGGTAAAGATTAGATTTTATATAAATCCCACTGTGAGTCAGGGAGTGCTTAATGGGCTGTCCTTGGAAGCCAGTTAGTATTTATGAAAAAAAAAGTGTGTTTCAAATGACCAATAAAATGAACCTTTGGAACATAAGCCATTTGTCATTTGAGGACTAACAGGATTAATACAAATAACTGAAATTCATAGGAGGCAATAGGCACTGCCAGTAAATGACACTTCTTAGCTACTCCTTACCCAAATCTCTGCCTTGATGATGTGTCTTCTCTCTCTCTCATCTTTATTTCCCTGTTATCTCCTCTTTTTTCCTTAAAAATAGTGAGTTTGTCCTAGATTTTGAGCTGCTGACACTCACTCCAGATAGTTGGCAGGTCTTAATCAGGGCAAGTCGATGAGGTGTGGAAACCACAGTGATTTCAGTCTCATGGGATCCAAGCAAAATTTTAAAATATATATAAAGAATGATTTTTTAAAATTCATAGAGTGACATATCTTTAACATTGTGTGACAGAATGGAAACGACAGGGTTAAAAATCTCAAGTTAAAATCACTGAGAAATTCAGCTTTTCTTCGAGGAAAACATTTCTGAACTATCACTGACACCATAAAGTGTTTTGTTTAAACAATAAAAGAACCTCATATCTATAGGAAATCCTGAAGTTGCTTTAAAAACAAAAATACTTAAACCTAGAAGCTGTTACAATGGGAAACTAGACTAAATAATTTATGGCTGGTGTGTCACTAGGAATTCTAATGGCATAAAGAAATGCTTAATAAACAAATGGCCTTTCAAATTTCGCAACTCTGGGGGTATGATAACACTATGCACTGGTTTTTAAAAATCTGTCCATAAGACCTGGAGAGCCTAACTATACTGTGGATTCATTTTATCGTAGGTCATATGAGGTCACTGTAAATCTTTGTACTATATTTGAGAAAACACAGAGTTGCGCCATCCCCAGCATCTAATGTCGTGACAGCCACAAGGCCTGGCACCTGATTTCTCCAGCACTGCACTTGCCCTTATGTCCTGATAGCGTAAGCAGTTTTTGGTGTCTTTGAGAGTCATCTTTACACAGCCAAATTAGAGAAGTGAAATGGGTTTTCCTGTGTTAGTCAGTCTTTCCTGATCCTCACATTTCTTTGGCTGCGGATTATAACATACTGTAGTATCCCCTAACCTCTTTTGACTGTTATTTCTTGTATTATTAGTGACATTTGGTGAAAATGCTTTGAATTTCTCTGTTAGCATAGGTGAGCAGAAATGCTGATCAGAAATAGAAGAACTAGTTATGATGAAAACATAACCAAAATGGAATGGCAATACTCTGCTTCCTAATATTTATTTGGAGCAGAGATATTAAAGATAGTCTTTATTTTTCAATGTTTTATCTGCTACTCTCTGCCTCCTCCAATAATAACCAAAACACTTTAAAATTTTAAATTGAAAAGTTGCCCAGTCATTCAGTGATGTCAATGATAAAGGCTGAACCATATTTAGACTAACCCCAAGGAAAGGATAATGTATTGTATTTTTAAATAGTCCTTTTTACCTTTTCATGATCAGTGCCTCTTCCTGTTTCTGTCTGCCCTGGCATCTTTTGGAAAGCTCTGTGTTTTGCATAGCATGTGCACCTTTTTTTTTTTTTTTCCTGAAATGTGCAGCACATTCAACATTGCAGTGATTTCTTTCCCCCTCCTTTGCTTAGAACAGAGGTGGAAACCCCAGGGGATTCAAGTACCCACTTGATAGGCTCAGTCTCTCTTAATCAGCCTGTAATGGAGCTAATGGCTGTTTGTCATCCTTGGAGATATAAATTTCCTGGCGGTGTCTCCTGCAGACAGTGCATGAAGTATGCTCAGTGTGCCAGCAAGGGCTGATAATCAGCAGAAGGGCAGGGTGCTTCGTTAGTCAGAAGAGCCAGGGCTTCCCAGCTGCCAGGCTACAGAACTCGCCTCGCCACTCCTGAGGCATGGACAACGCCGGTAGGTAAAACAAGCATGAATTCTTCATAGCTCTGGCTTCCTTTGCAGCTTGTATCCTTTGCTGCGGGAGGTTTGCCTATTCGTTGTTCTCGTTTTGCACTTAAATGTTCAAGACTAGGAAGCATGTAATATTGGAACCCCGATGCGTTGTCCACCAGACAATTAATGTTTACCTTGAAGTTTAGGAATTGGGAATGCAGATTGTCATTCCAAATTCACCTTTTGTGAAGACTACTGCTATTTTATTTAGGCTGCAGGAAGTGTGGTGTTTGATTCTTTTGTGCTCAGAGCAGTGGGTGGAAAATGCATATAGTTAGTGAAAAAACTATTACTAAGGGATGGCATGAGGTAGATGGAATTAAGTTAATAAGCTGAGCAAAAATTCTGTATAAATATTACAATATGCACAGTGTAATAGCATAAGAACTCTTTGGGTCTGATGCTTTCATCTTCACGTTAGGATGCAATGTCAAAAATGTTTCGATAGTCTCTGATATTTTAGTTTCAGAGTACAGGCATTAGTGGTCAATCATGAACCTTTAAAAATGTATTTTTTTTTTTTTTTACTATCTTTACTTGCTAACTAGACAAACATGACAGTGGAAGTATTTTATTGTCAGTTACATGATTAGCATAAAATTCTCAGGTGGAACCTTTTCTTTTTACTTTGCTGTATTGAACTTTTAGAGAAGATATACTGTGGGATCATTCCCCATTTCAGTGTTATTGGCACTCAAGCAGAATTTTCCCAGCTGTGTTATGGATTATCTGTCTCCTGAAACTCATTAGTTCAGTTACTCAGCTGATATCAGCTTGAAGGTGATGCTTCCCATGCCTTGAGATGCTGTCAGCTCTTCTAAGAAGTTACATCATTTAAAACACATTCTACACTACAAGACCACCCATTGGTGGTGAAACATACTTGTTTATGAAGTTGAGGTAGTTCAGTCCTCGGTGCAGGTAGCATAGGCTAGCAGAGATTTTAAAGTCAGCGTACGTTGGGCTCTTTTATGAAATAGGTTATCAGGAACAAAACTCTGTGACTAACATACTTTGGTCCTTGCCATTGAAGACATTGAAATAAAGTAGAACAGTATAATATCAGGGATGAAAATTTTAGGGTGGTGGAAGAAATGAGACAAGTGTAAGGATGTGTGTGGTCGTAGCAGGAGAGAAGCTGGGATGCATGCATATGGATTGTACCCCATTCTGGTCATTAAAAAAGCATGCCATAGGGCTTGTCAAAAAGCAGGTATATATGGTATTCCGTGACAAGGCACAATTTGAAAATCAACCAAAAGCTTCTATAATTACAGCAGTAGAGTGAGTAAAAAATAAATAAATAAACTTAGAATCTCTAATTTAGCCTCATTTAAAACTCCTGCCACCCACAATTTATTATACTGACACCCTGGCAGAATGATCACTTTAATTTAAGCAAATGCCTTTTTTAACTGACTCATATATTTATTTAAAGGCCATTTAAAAAAAGGGGAAGAAACTCCTGTGGCAGACTTCTTGTAGGCTTAAAAATGCTATCGGTTATTTTTCCTTTTTGGCTAACTAGAGCTTTGGGGGTGTTTTCACAATGTTTAGTTATATTTGTTTATGCTATTAAATGTGATTAATAAAACACCTCTGCTCTTGATGAGTTTAAGATTATTTAAACACTGTGGAGAGTGGCTTGTAAAGTAGCAATTTCTATATCATTTCAAATTTTAAGTGTAATCTCAAATATAGGTATGCATACCTTTGAATAGAATAACAGGTTTTAAATCACATAATTTGAATATTTCCGAAATAGCATCTTTCTTATAATGGCTTATAATTGGCTGTCAGTGATCACTTTTCATGGTATTTTTTTATGAGGTGAGCAGACCCTCAGAGGAGGAAAATGTAAACATCCATTACATACACACATTTCAATACATTGTATTGACTGTAAGGAAAGCATTTAAGACAGTACTGGTAGAGGGCAAAACAAAAAAAAATTCCGAAATATCTTTAACATTGTGCCAAGAGATTCAATTAATTTGGAGCACTACAGTTTCTCCAATTTAATTTAAAGAAGATAATGATGTTGAGTATTTGCCTAAATTTTTCTAATCAGAAATGGGTTGAGGCCCTGGATTTCAGAGCTAGTACCTTAGAGCTGCGCACTAGTGCTAACAACTGGATCGTTAGTATCAAGGAGCCTGGCCCTCTTCCAGCAAGGCTTTCTGTGTGGGGTTTTGCATGATTGATAGGCAGAACCACAGCAATGGGTCCACACAGGTTGAATGTCCCTAATTTATTTGAGTCACATAGAACCCTGCATTAGAGATATTTGTGCATGGTTTCCGCTGTTAGCAAGTAAAGAAAGATGAGCTGCTTGGGACTCCGGCCCTTTGGGTGGGTGGGTGTACATTTCAGCCATCATGCCATTGTGAGTCTGTCCTTTCTCTCCTTAGCAGCAAAGAACTGACATTCCTACTATCTTGGAGAAGGAGACATCCCTTCCCCATAATTGCTGGCTTATGTATTCCTTTAAAAGCTTTTCCTGGAATAACCATAAAATATTTATCAAACTGTGTGTGTGGAATATGTCAGGGCAATTTTAGCAATATCTAACATTTTCTTCTTTTTTTAATATGGCTATTTCTTCTTAGAAGTTATATAACAACTCAGATAGATGGTGCTTTATAATTACAAACCTGTGACTACAAGTCCCATCAGAGTTCTGCCAATGCCACTTTCCTCCTTACCACCATCAAGTGGTTCTCATGAGTGAATTCTGATAAGACATTCAGAGGCACAGTTGATTGGTGTGTGATTTTTATCTGAAACATGTTTTGAAATGTAATTCCATATTCTACAGTGTAGAATACTGTAAAAAAAAAAAAAAAAAAAAAAGCTCTGCAGAATTTATTGTGTTGAGTTTTCCCTACTTGATATCAAGATATTTCAGTTACCATGTGTGGGTTGAAAGAGCCACACTCATTTGGAGGGCCCATGCACCTTCACCGTGCATTCTGGCTCAGCGGTTCAGAGGCTTTTGGCTATTGATGATGTACAATCACTGAGTCAGAAGATCACAGCCTGCCAGCTCCCTGCAAAACAGACTCAAGGGTTATTTGGAGCCAGACTGAGGAAGGGTTTGGAGTGGAGTAGTTGAGAGTGTCAGATAATTTTTGGTGAACGTTAGCTCTGCCACCTGTTATCCCAGTGACTGTGAACAAGTAATAGAAACTGTATGCATTAATTTTCTCATCAATAAGCGGTGACAATAATTGTACCCATATTATAGGATTGCTATGAAGAGAAAGTAAGATAACTCCTATAAGGCTTTTGGTACAATGGCTGGCATATGGCAAAATACAATGCATGTTGGCATTTTAGAGAGCCATCAAAAGATTGAAGCAGGCTGCTTTATGAACACGTAAATATATGCTCCAGCAGGACAGCTCTGAAAGTGGTTCAGATGACAGTGTGGGAAAGTGAGCAGTTCTGAGCAAAGAGACTAGTCAAGTGGCTGTCTCAGAAGTAGAACTGGAAATTAATGTGGGTGGTGCAATGGGCATGGGGTTGGGGATGCCTTGGCTATGCATCAGCAGAGCGTGATGAGTGGATGTGGAGGCAGGGGAGCTGCAGCAGTCAAAGGAGACCTTGGAGGTTTCCAGTTAGAGAATTTAAGACAATGGTCCTGCACAACTGAACAAAATGGGTTTTAAGAGAAAGACGGTAAGTTCCATTTTGACACTGTTGGGTTTGAAATACCTTGTGTGTTGCCCACTAGCCACAGTAGTTGGTTCACTGATGACCTTTTAATCCACTTAAAGGATTAAAAAGGATTCCTACCCCATCTCTCTCCAGTCTGTGGGAGATCCTATGGGATGGTGTAGAGAAAGGAAACTTTCAAATGCTCCGTCTTATTTTATAGATGGAGATAAGACCAGACAAAGAGAAACATGCTCCTAAGCATTGAAATAATTAGGGTAAAGGCCAGGCTGTTACATAAGAAAATGTAAGCATGAAGACATTTCATTTCAAGCTGATTCAAAACCTTAGCAGCCCAGGTTGTCATGCCAAAGTTCCTGAACAGCTGGAGATGGTGATTCAGGAGAAGGATTACTTAATAGAGCAGACATCCAATAAGAATTCATATGTTTTGAAAGAGGTTGCTTTCTAGAATATTTGACTATGTTTGCAAACTGTAGTCTATGCAATTAATTTTTTTCCTCTAATCCTCCATTTTCATGATATCTTGGTCTTACTATCTATAATTTTGTTGACCATGACACTTTTTAGAAATGCTATAATGTTATATATACATACATACATACATATGTACACATACATACATAATATGTACACATACATTTGAATGTGTATTGTTAATATATGTACCTATGTGTGAATTCTTTAACTAGGGGATTGTCAGCCTTGATGTAAGGGAATGTAATGTTGGTAGCTCTTCTAAAAAACTTAATAAAACATTAGAACGGATTTTCTTTCTAATTAAGAAAGAAATTCATTCTTATCCTCTGAAATACCCCTTGTGTTATAAAGATTATTATTTAACATTTTATCGACTGTCAAATTACAGTATTTTCCTTTGAATTTATTGTGAAGCCCATTGTGCTATTTTAGCATTTTATGTTTCACCAAATGAATATTCTTAGAAGCATCCCGGATTCATGTAAAAATATTTTTCTAACCAAAACATTAAAATGTGATAAATAGTCTGTTTTTTGGAACATCTGTTTTCAAAATGCTAGTATTATCAAAAATAACTGTGTTTTAAAATCAAAATGCCAAAAGGAAAAATAAGTTTATATATAAACGTAGACATACTGTAAAAGTGGCACTAAATTTTCTTCCTAGTTTTACTCTAATAGCATAGTGACTTTGATCTCCTGAGAATAAACCAACAGCCATGGCCCAAGAGTGTGCAGAAGCAGGCCAAAGTCTTTGCTTCTAAAATGAAGTTTTTACTTTTGTTTTAGGATCACTGCAGTTTG